GTCATGGCTAACTCACTTTCACATTACACAAATCAAAATCACAATGCAGGGAAAACTATTCAAAATCTTTGCAGGTGGGCAAAACTATCAACATCTTCATACAAGATTTATTAGTAATAATGGTAGAATTACTGACTAAATGTTAGGTAAGTGGACACAGATGCCACTAAAGTGGCATTTTATTGTGGTAACGTTTCTCTTTCCAGGAGCTTTGACAGAACTACTGGAGAGTGAAACATTGCCACAATACATTGTCACATTAGTTGCATCTGTGTCCATTTACCTAACAGAAGATTTATTGTTGAATAATTCCAAGTTTCAGCTATAAATCCATCACAATCTTGAGGAATCATATTCTGGAACATGTCATAATACTGTACATGTACACTACATTACATATTAGAAAATACAATGACATAGTGTGAGAAAAATTAAAAAATAATCAAAGCAGTGAGATGGTATTACATGTGGTGCATCAATCAAGTAATTACTATCCAGTTTATTTTTTTAACATGTTTGCCATCTCCCACCAAGGCAGGGTGACCCAAAAAATAAACACTTTCATCATCATTCACACAATCACTGTCTTGTCAGAGGTGTGCACATACAACAGTTCTGTTTAATGTATCTCATATGACACCAGCACCTTACTGGTTTGTTTACCTCATTAAATTTGTCTTGTGTTATCCTAATGTGTCACTGTATTTTCTGTTATCTACTATAGGTGTACAATATTATGACATGTACCAGAATATGATTCCTGAAGACTGTGATGGATTAAGCACCAAAATTCCGAATTATCCTACAATAAATAATCTCTTACGATGTTCTTAGTCTTTCCTCAATTGCCAAAATTATAATTATTCAAAATCTGTTTTTCACATTTTACAGTTTGTGTTCATGAAGTGTTCCAAGTCATTGGCCAGGAGTGTGAACAAGTTTAGACAAAATGGAAAATATCCCCACCATTTATGCTGAATGAGATGCTGGACTCTTACATGCAAGAATTCTGTGTAGAGAGTAGAAACAGTTCCAGTAAAGAGAGCTCCTACCTGTAGACACAAACCACAAACCCCCACCATGAGGTTAAGGTAACTCAGCATCTGAGAGGGGGTCCCATATCCATTGTTATCTTAATCTGTTTCACTGTGACACAGTCACAAGTTACATGACACATTACAGTAATTACACATTATTCCTGTGACTTCTACAGTTAAATGTATATCACAGTTATTATTCTATAATAGCTTTCTCAATGATTGATAACAAATATAATAAAGCAAGAATGGGTATTAATAAAAAATAATGCTTTAGAACAAACTGCTAAGTAGCATCACTGAGTGAGTACTTTGGGTAGTTTTGTAATTAAGACATGGATTGTGCATGAATGGGAGTGGTTAACTTGAAGGAGAATCTATGTTCCATCATCCAGGTATTTCTTTTGATCTATGCCCTTTTCAGTGGTTGGGGTAAAGTGGTGTTCACCTTGTTCCAGCTTCTGAGTCAAGTACAAGTGTGATTGATCAGTGTTTTTCTTGCAAATTGCTGACAGAAGCCTGGTCCACCATTGCAATATGGTGTCAAGAGTGTTTCAAAACTCGCTCTGATATTTACAAGTTTCTTACTAACCCTTGAGTTTCTATGTGGTTAATGTTTTGGCTTTCAGTGAATATTTTGAAGTTTCATGGAATTGTGTAGGTGTATTGGTGTATACACCAGTGCTAAGGAGAGATCCATCTTGATCACTGCAATTAGTACAAGTGAACTATACTGTATGATATTAATGATTGACTGTTTATGTACATGTGTAATGTATGTATTTAGTCATTTGGATTATAGGTTTAATTTTACATCCATATATCTAAGTGTTATAGGTAGTAGGTTGGTAGACAGCAACCACCCAGGGAGGTACTACCGTCCTGCCAAGTGAGTGTAAAACGAAAGCCTGTAATTGTTTTACATGATGGTAGGATTGCTGGTGTCCTTTTTTCTGTCTCATGAACATGCAAGATTTCAGGTACGTCTTGCTACTTCTACTTACACTTAGGTCACACTACACATACATATACAAGCACATATATATGCACCCCTCTGGGTTTTCTTCTATTTTCTTTCTAGTTCTTATTCTTGTTTATTTCCTCTTATCTCCATGGGGAAGTGGAACAGAATTCTTCCTCCGTAAGCCATGCGTGTTGTAAGAGGCGACTAAAATGCCGGGAGCAAGGGGCTAGTAACCTCTTCTCCTGTATATATTACTAAATGTAAAAGGAGAAACTTTTGTTTTTCCTTTTGGGCCACCCCACCTCGGTGGGATACGGCCGGTGTGTTGAAAGAAAGAAGAAGATATCTAAGTGTACCAGAGTACAGTGGTACAGAAACTTTAATATGAGTGTGAGGCATACGCTTTGAATACTGCTGCAAGAAGGCAGTGGCAATCTCATTTTTTGAGAGCAATATGTGGTGTGAATATCATGCAAAGAACTTGGAATATGAAATTAAAAAGGCAATGTGGGATCAGCAAGGATACAATTCAAAGGGCTGAGAAGGGACTGGTGAGGTGGTTTGGAAATGTACAAAAGATGGTGTGAGATAGGATGATGAACAGGGTGTATACATATATCTGGGATAGAGGGTAGGAGGAGGGGCTGTCTCAGAAACAGTTAGAGGGAGGAGGTAAAGGGTGCTTAGAGTTTTAGGGAATGAGCATCCAGCAGGCTTGTATAAGCATGTTAAACCATACCACAGGCAGGGGCTGCACTCATGGTGAGTGAGCAGTAAAACTCCAGGCCAGTGCGTAAGCCAATCCACGTTTGTGGTATGGTTTGTTTGCAATCGTATCATTACTATTTTGTGTCGTAAACATGTTAAACTGGAGTGAATGGAGACAAGTGGCTTTTAATGGACATGCTGTTAAGAGTGTGAACAAAGTAACTTTTATAAAAAGATTCAGAGAAACCAATTAGCTATACTTGTATCTTGAAAGTGAAGAGCAAAACCTACACTCTGAAGGAAGGGTGGAAATGTTGCAGTCGGAGGGTAATCCGAATTGTGATGCCAGCAGACTTCTCACACATCAGCAATTGAATGAATGACAGTGAATGTCTTTTCTTCTCTGGGTCACCTTGCCTCGACAGCCTCTGAGATAAAACAAACAAAAAAAAGTTCAATTGTCCCTTCGCTTGGTTTCCAAAATATTGGTGAATGATAACTGGTCATGTTTGTATAATGGTAGGAAACAGGATGCTTTATCCAGAGCCCAAAAAAGCCATACCAACAGAATGTACTTGAATATAGCTCACAGTGTACTCCACATTATGCCTGGGTTAAAAGATGGGGAGGGAGGTAGGAAGAGAAGACGGGAGGTAGGGAGGGAAGCAGTGAAGGAGGGAGGTGGTGTGCGTCAAGTTAGTCATCTCACCTACTGAACACGTACATGTTCCACACACAAAAGTAGCCAAAAAAACATATGCATTCCTATTCATACAGTTCTTACTAATTTTTCCCAAACAAATGTGAACCCAATACATGTGAATAATGCAAACATACACAAAATATCAATGCATATGGTGAAAAAAGTAACAGCAGAAAAAGCAAATATAGTTGAGCCATACCAAAACTGTTATTAAATCTAGTGTTCTTCATCAATATTTACCAAACACAAACCCTCTAAATATGAATAACTGAACATACACAACATATGAGTGCATTTGGTGAAAAAAAAAAAAAGCATCAGGAAAATTTTTTTTGAAAATAATCTCTGGTGGGGTTCCCTAGAGTTTTGCTAAATCCTCAAGCCAGAAATTTGTTCATGGAGCACCGCCCTCGACCTCAACTAGTGTGGGTTAATGAGAAGAAACTGCATAAGGGAAACCTCATGCAGTTTCTTAGTCTGCAGGCTTCATAACACAAATAAATTAAAAAGTTAGCATTTCTCTCATTCTTAAGTGTAAGATTTTTTCCTCAATCCCAGCTGACAATATGCAGAGTTCATGTTAAGCACTAGGAATTACCATGTTCACATTCACATTGTTCAACTATTAAGAGCAATGCTCAAACAATTTCCACAACAAACCCAAAATACAGGAGATGAAACTCAGTCCAAGACATATCAAAACATCTAATTTCATATCTAAATTATGACTTTGTTGTGAATTGTTGCAGCCACAATACTGTGACTTTCATTCTTCATATACACTTCCTGGTGAACTATGCCACCTGGGTTTTCCTATCACAGAACTAATGCATTTACTCTATGTTTCAACTAAAATAAAAAAGTGTGAAAAATGAGGATACTGCATGTTAATTAGCTGCATAAACAACGAAAATTCTAATACATTTGTCCTCTTCATGGGAATCACAACTGCAGTACAATAATTGATCAGCACGGAGAATATATCAAGTTTTTTCTTTCATGTTAAAATTATTAGGCACACAATTTCTGATGAACTATCACAGTAAAAAAATTTCTATTCATAATTATACGAGTGGAAAAAAGATATCTTATTAGATTTTGGTCTTAATACTTTGGGTCTCATAAATGAAATAGAGAGAGATATACACATGACAAGTCTTATGGCACAGTCATATCAAGCTATATTATGCTAACAAATTTACAAATCCTAATTGTAGAACTTCTTGCCACACTATTTCATAGTTTGCATAGATAAATGATCAGTAAAATATTTATCACTGATGTTTTTAATATATTGTACATCAGACTGTGCTTATTCTTCATAAATGTTATGTATCAACTGTGAAGCCAATCCACATAACCCATTAATTATATATTTATTATCCTGAGTACATTATTCTGCAAAAAATACCTAACTAAATTCACCCCTGTAGGAAAATGTTTAAATGTAGTTGAACAAATATTTTGATAGGTTAGGTAAATTACTTGTTTGCAGTTATATAAATTTTTAGCAATATTAAGCTAGGTTGCTATGTTACTTTGGGTACAAAATAAAAAAAATGCATACGTATAGTTCCTTGTTTTCCCCATGATAATAAGGGAAGGAAAGCTGTCAGTGTGGTCCAAACCATTTCCTAAGTATTTTTTTTTTTTTTTATGCAATGTGATGTCCCAGCCATGAAAATTAATTTAAAGACTCCTCATCATCCAATCAACACTAGCAGTTACTAAAACTACTATAATCTTTGAAATGGCCGTCGCACTAAAAATAAATACGTTTAACTCATTTCTAACAGAAAATTTTCACCTAAAAAATTGAATGTTTGTAAAATCAAAAACAATATTTGGATAGCAACTGTGATAGAGACAAAATCCCACATACTTAATAATGAAGGACAGTATTCATATGTGAAAATAAAAAACTTTGTAATAAATTATATTTTCTGCAAAAAATGCACTATATGCTGAAAAACCAACTCTGATATACAAAAATACTATACATAATTCTTTTGAAATTTGGAAGAGAAATCTATGCATTATATTGTAAAATGTTTAAGTGGCAAGAGACATGAGAGATCATCATCAGGTTTTTAAAATTAACTGAAGAAAAAGCATGTAAGAGAGACTAACTTATCTCTCTGCTCATAAATTAGCTCGGCACAATTGTACACCTGACCTGCAATGTAATCAAACTGATAGCAACATGCATTTCATATGACCCCCTTGAGTAGATATGTTTGTCAGTCAGTAATATGACACTTATTCTGTGTCAATCTTGTTATTACTTATTTGTAATTACCTATTTGTTGCTACATGAGTAGAGCTAAGTTCACCATGTCACATCTTCATTATTTAATGTCTTAAACAGTTGTAATACTGAATACTGAAGAAGGAGCACCACAAGCTTAGCTCTGCACCTTCAGCTACAAATATGTAAAACTACAGATGCCCAATTTTTACAAAGTGACCATCTAGTATACCCACTGTTCATTTAGCTACAGTTCATGCACTTAAGTTGCAAACATAGCACAAAATGTGTCTCTCACACCTTTTAAGGTACAATTTATTTGCTTAAAAGTGTGCAGCCAAGCCCAGAAGTGAAGTGGATGCTTCAACTGGTTTACAATATTCAACAATGGTATTCTACACTGCACCAAATGTCTTAATTCTTTATATTGTAATATGTTACAACTGAAATGCTGTAGTGTAACCCAAAAGTTAATTAATTTCAGTGTTCAACATCATTCAAAAGCCACCTTCCTCTACAACAGGAAATGCCATACATAATACTCAGGCTTTTTTGGGCAATTTTCCATAAAAGTTGAAATGTTTATTAATAAGGAGCTTAATTGCCAATTTAATTGCAGTCATATATATTAATTCACACTATATATATGTATGTATGCATCTGTATGTGACTGCATGAGCACCATGACTGCATGCACATAAACACATACCTGCAGGAATACATATATACAGGCACCATGCATACATATGCAAACATTCATGTGTACAGAATATATATTTCCAAAGTCTAAAAATTCCTACATGCAAAGTTTAACATAGGGCTGGGCTATACTGTAGTTAGACATGTTGAAAACTAAACTAGGTGTTAAATGTAAATCAGTAATTGCTAAATTGTCCAGTACAATTGATATCTGTTGAGGAAATGTGTAAGACGTAGGCTCGGTACAGCTCCCAAGAAACCAAAGAATGCGTTTGGGGCAGCTCCATCATTACCTTATGAAAGTATTTAAACTGGTTCTGAACTTTACATGCAAAATACACTTTTCTGTAAACTAAGAGTTATCAAAATTATTTCACTTTAAATGTAATGATTAAATATATGCAAAAGATTAAATTTGCCAACACAAGTGAAAATTCAAAACTGAACAGACAAATCCTAAGTTAAATATTTTTTTTTGAATTGTAGCTGCATAAGAAATTTTCATTACCCTAATTTACTGAGAAGCCAGAAGCCAATATTTCATGGATCAGTTATGAGACTCCACGTTGAAACATTTACAAGACCTTAAATCCAAAATGAACATTCTTTTATTCCAAAGCATCACAGGAGACATTGGTGGGGGGCTATTTTACTTGATATTCAAAGAAAAGGTAGTTACTATTTGAAAACAAATAATAACCTACACATACATTAGTATATCATTACAAGCACGTGTTATAAAATGGCCCTGAGTGTCAAATCACCAAAACAAAAATGTGAGGCCCAATCAACAATCTTAGCATATAATGCAATACAGTCGAGCACCGAGGGTTTGGATTAATCGGGACCAGAGGTGTTCTGAACTTATGATTTAGCCTAACCCAATGTAAAAATCTAATGAAAAATTTTAAGGAATATTTTCTAAGGCAAATCTGTAATTACAGTAAATGTCAATGTCCAAATAACAGAACAAACTTTTCGGTTCTAAAGTGCAGGTATCAGACTCCAAACTTTAGGTGCTCAACTGAATCCACAGGGATAAGAGGCCATTTGAATTGCATATTATCTAAGATTGGTCACTGGGCAAATATTCACTATGTCCGAGTGGTTAGATGTCTTGTTCTCTGGACAGATACTGTACACAAGTACTGCCAACCAAGCAACCAGCCCCCCAGCCCTGGTTGAGGGTGCATTTTGGGAGCATGGAGTTTGGCAATAATGATAAAACCTACAGAGGGATGTTTTTACATCATATAAATCCTATAAAACAAATTGCAGATATTATCATTCAAGTTGCAGATATTATCAGTCTTCTAAATTTTTTCAAAGCTGAATACCAACAAATTTAATTTTCATTTTTTTTTTTTTTTGAGATTTTCTAAACCCATACTCCCTGCTCCTTAATGCACCTCATTATGGGCACCTATGGTTTACTCAAATATAAGTGAAGCTGCTGCGTAGGATACAGAAGAGTCTGAAGAAGTGTAGCAGCGTGATGACTGGGCATACTGCAAGAATTTGAGCAACATTCGGTGCCCATTGCTTGTCTTCTGTAGAGTTGCAACTGCCTGCAAGAGATAGTAATATGCAGTTATCCGAAAACATGATTATCTAATATGTGAATGTATTTTGTTTAACAGATACCTTCAATATCTTTCAAAACCATTATTGTAAACAACAATACTGGCAGTTTGGAGGGATGTGTAATAGGATGGTATATATATAATTGGGGCCCTGATATTATATTCTATATGGAGTTATTATATTATTTCAGGTCACTTTTTATACTGTATCTTTTTATGTGCTTCTAAACTGTTGTATCTGGGCGCCTCTGCAAAAACAGTGATTATGTGTGAGTGAGGTGATGATGCAAGTATTTTCATTTTGGGAATTTCCTTTCTTTTTGGGTCACCCTGCCTAGATAGGAGACGGCCGACTTGTTGAAGAAAAGAAAAAAAAAATATTAGGGTCACTATATATATCACAATAAAAATCAATATTGATGTCAATCCTATTGTTGCTTCTCTGCAAGTTAGGAGCATTGTTGAGCAAATGCTTGCTGAGCATATGCTAGCTAAAAACCACTGAGCATATGCTAGCTAAGAACCACTGAGCATATGTTAGCTAAGAACCACTGAGCATATGTTAGCTAAGAACCACTGAGCATATGCTAGCTAAGAACCACTGAGCATATGCTAGCTAAGAACCACTGAGCATATGCTAGCTAAGAACCATTGAGCATATGCTAGATAAGAACCACTGAGCATATGCTAAGAACCACTGAGCATATGCTAGCTAAGAATCCACTGAACATATGCTAGCTAAGAACCACTGAACATATGCTAGCTAAGAACCACTTAGCATATGCTAGCTAAGAACCACTGAGCATATGCTAGCTAAGAACCACTGAGCATATGCTAGCTAAGAAAACCACTGAGCATATGCTAGCTAAGAACCATTGAGCATATACTAGCTAAGAACCACAGAACACATGCTAACTAAGAACTACATGTATAAGATAAACAACCAATACCTATTTCATCATATGCAGTTAAATTTTAATAGTCCTGTACTTTTTAAGTTCAACAGTTACTATGAACAAAGTCTAGAGATAAAACAAATATCTAAACAACTGCTGCTACATTATTACATTCCCCTCAATTATTATTCTATTTGTGGAGAACTGCTAAACCTGTAATGGAAGGTATTCGGAGTTGATCCAGAGATGAGGAGGGTAGCTCAAATCCCTTGGATCAAGAGCCCTTCATCAGCATCAAGGCACCCACTTTAAAATGCAAAGTGATATGACAGTTTAGAATGACACACTCGTGCAACATTTGGGAATCTTCAATGCGGAAACATTCTGCCAGCCAGTGGCTTCTTCAGTCTAATACAGAAAAGAATGGGGAAAATGAAGAGTCTGAGATAATCAGTCCCTCAGCCTATTGCATAAGTGTCTCATTTTTAATCCTTTGACTGTTCTGGTCGTATACATATGTCTTACAAGCCAGTGTTTCGGATGTATTAATACACATAAATTCTAGTGACTTCAAATCAAGCAGGAGAAAGCTGGTAGGCCCACATGTCAGAGAATGGGCCTGTGTGGTCAGTGTGCACCACATAAAAAAATCCTGCAGCACACAGTGCATAATGAGAAAAAAAAAAAGACCGTTTTTTGGGGATTAAAACGACGACTTTGAAGTGTATTTTCATATAGTATTTATCGTTGTATTCTCATTTTCATGATCTCACATGATAAAATGGAAAATATGTTACAGAAATAGAGACGATTTTGATTAGTTTCATGATGAAAATGACCTTGAAATTGAGCTCAAAGTAACGGAAATGTTCGATTTTTATCAATGTTCAGGAGTAAGCAAATCACACCACGCGTCCAATACACGTCAACTGGGGAGTCTAATATTCTTTCACTAGTGCACTGATATTATTTATACCATTTTTACAATAATGCAGTAGTCTGCATAACAGTAAATTTTGTATTTTTTGTATGAATAAAAAATCAAAATAGAAAGCAATAGTAATATAAGAGCAGCCTAGAGACGTGACTAATGAACAGAGGATATGTTATTTTAGTGCCAAGAATGTCTACATTGTTTATTCTGGACTCTATTTTGAAATTGACATCTTTTTTAATTTGCGTGAAATTGGCCAAATTGCCAATTTCTGACCACTTTATTGGGTAGTTCAAATTGGTAAATGAGAGGTTTCTTGTACTCAACTGATAGAAAAAATGGAGTTCTAAAGAAATAGCTATGAGTTTGGTCAACTGGAACAACGGAATTGGTCAAAAACAGGGCTCAATGCTGGCGAAATCGCCGATGCATATGTCGCTGAGACCGCTAACTTCGTGGGAGTGTAATTCCATGAGTTTTCGACAGAATTTCATACTCTTGGTGTCATTAGCATCAGGAAAAGATTCTCTATCATTTCATAAGAAAAAAAAAAAATTTTTTCCAAAAAATTTTGCGACATAGAATGACAGCTTCAGAAATGGGCTTGCGACAGTCAAAGGGTTAAAAGGATTGTTACTCTGAAGCTTGAGAAATATAAACAGTAGCTGATTTTCATTTACCTATTTCTTTCCTTCTGCCAAACAGATACTGCAATTGCAAAAAAATATGAGAGATTGCAACACAACAGTCTTATTTAATTATACACCCAATGACTATCAATGAATAAACAGAGCAATGGATGAGGACCATGGACCACAGTTCAATTACCCTTGTATTATTGATTTAATGAATTAGAAGCCCTAATTTCCATAGGTAGTAGGTTGGTAGACAGCAACCACCCAGGGAGGTACTACCGTCCTGCCAAGTGAGTGTAAAACGAAAGCCTGTGATTGTTTTACATGATGGTAGGATTGCTGATGTCTTTTGTCTGTCTCATAAATATGCAAGATTACAGGTATGTCTTGCTACTTCTACTTACACTTAGGTCACACTACACATACATGTACACATTTATTTATACACATTCATCTGAGTTTTCTTTGATTTTATCTTAATAGTTCTTGGTCTTATTACTTTTCCTTTTATATCCATGGGGAAGTGGAATAAGAATCTTTCCTCAGTAAGCCATGCGTGTTGTAAAAGTCAACTAAAATGCCGGGAACAATGGGCTAGTAACCCCTTTTCCTGTAAAGATTACTAAAAAGAATAAGAAGAAGAAAATTGTCAAAGTGGGAAGTCTGAATGTGCGTGGATGTTGTGCAAATGATAAGAAAGAGATGATTGTGGATGTTATGAATGAAAAGAAGCTGGATGTCCTGGCTTTAAGTGAAACAAAGCTGAAGGGGGTGGGAGAGTTTCAGTAGAGAGGAATAAATGGGATTAGGTCAGGGGTTTCAAATAGAGTTAGAGCTAAAGAAGGAGTAGCAATAATGTTGAAGGATAAGCTATGGCAGGAAAAGAGGGACTATAAATGTATTAATTCAAGGATTATGTGGAGTAAAATAAAGATTGGATGTGAAGAGTGGGTTATAATAAGCGTGTATGCACCCGGAGAAAAGAGAAGTGTAGAGGAGAGAGAGAGATTTTGGGAAATGTTGAGTGAATGCGTGGGGAGTTTTGAATCAAGTGTGAGAGTAATGGTGGTTGGGGATTTCAATGCTAAAGTGGGTAAAAATGTTATGGAGGGAGTAGTAGGTAAATTTGGGGTGCCAGGGGTAAATGTAAATGGGGAGCCTTTAATTGAGCTATGTGTAGAAAGAGATTTGGTAATAAGTAATACATATTTTATGAAAAAGAGGATAAATAAATATACAAGGTATGATGTAGCATGTAATGAAAGTAGTTTATTAGATTATGTATTGGTGGATAAAAGGTTGATGGGTAGGCTCCAGGATGTACATGTTTATAGAGGGGCAACTGATATATCGGATCATTATTTAGTTGTAGCTACAGTTAGAGTAAGAGGTAGATGGGAAAAGAGGAAGGTGGCAACAACAAGTAAGAGGGAGATGAAAGTGTATAAACTAAGGGAGGAGGAAGTTCGGGTGAGATATAAGCGACTATTGGCAGAAAGGTGGGCTAGTGCAAAGATGAGTAGTGGGGGGGTTGAAAGGGGTTAGAATAGTTTTAAAAATGCAGTATTAGAATGTGGGGCAGAAGTTTGTGGTTATAGGAGGGTGGGGGCAGGAGGAAAGAGGAGTGATTGGTGGAATGATGAAGTAAAGGGTGTGATAAAAGAGAAAAAGGTAGCTTATGAGAGGTTTTTACAAAGCAGAAGTGTTATAAGAAGAGCAGAGTATATGGAGAGTAAAAGAAAGGTAAAGAGAGTGGTGAGAGAGTGCAAAAGGAGAGCAGATGATAGAGTGGGAGAGGCACTGTCAAGAAATTTTAATGAAAATAAGAAAAAATTTTGGAGTGAGTTAAACAAGTTAAGAAAACCTAGGGAAAGTATGGATTTGTCAGTTAAAAACAGAGTAGGGGAGTTAGTAGATGGGGAGATGGAGGTATTAGGTAGATGGCGAGAAGATTTTGAGGAACTCTTAAATGTTAAGGAAGAAACAGAGGCAGTAATTTCATGCACTGGTCAGGGAGGTATACCATCTTTTAGGAGTGAAGAAGAGCAGAATGTAAGTGTGGGGGAGGTACGTGAGGCATTAAGTAAAATGAAAGGCGGTAAAGCAGCTGGAACTGATGGGATCATGACAGAAATGTTAAAAGCAGGGGGGGATATAGTGTTGGAGTGGTTGGTACTTTTGTTTAATAAATGTATGAAAGAGGGGAAGGTACCTAGGGATTGGCGGAGAGCATGTATAGTCCCTTTATATAAAGGGAAAGGGGACAAAAGAGACTGTAAAAATTATAGAGGAATAAGTTTACTGAGTATACCAGGAAAAGTATACGGTAGGGTTATAATTGAAAGAATTAGAAGTAAGACAGAATGTAGGATTGCGGATGAGCAAGGAGGATTCAGAGTGGGTAGGGGATGTGTAGATCAAGTGTTTACATTGAAGCTTATATGTGAACAGTATTTAGATAAAGGTAGGGAAGTTTTTATTGCATTTATGGATTTAGAAAAGGCATATGATAGAGTGGATAGAGGAGCAATGTGGCAGATGTTGCAAGTACAGTATATGGAATAGGTGGTAAGTTATTAAATGCTGTAAAGAGTTTTTATGAGGATAGTGAGGCTCAGGTTAGGGTGTGTAGAAGAGAGGGAGACTACTTCCCGGTAAAAGTAGGTCTTAGACAGGGATGTGTAATGTCACCATGGTTGTTTAATATATTTATAGATGGGGTTGTAAAGGAAGCAAATGCTAGGGTGTTCGGGAGAGGGGTGGGATTAAATTTTGGGGAATCAAATTCAAAATGGGAATTGACACAGTTACTTTTTGCTGATGATACTGTGCTTATGGGAGATTCTAAAGAAAAATTGCTAAGGTTAGTGGATGAGTTTGGGAATGTGTGTAAAGGTAGAAAGTTGAAAGTGAACATAGAAAAGAGTAAGGTGATGAGGGTGTCAAATGATTTAGATAAAGAAAAATTGGATATCAAATTGGGGAGGAGGAGTATGGAAGAAGTGAATGTTTTCAGATACTTGGGAGTTGACGTGTCGGCGGATGGATTTATGAAGGATGAGGTTAATCATAGAATTGATGAGGGAAAAAAGGTGAGTGGTGCGTTGAGGTATATGTGGAGTCAAAAAACGTTATCTATGGAGGCAAAGAAGGGAATGTATGAAAGTATAGTAGTACCAACACTCTTATATGGGTGTGAAGCTTGGGTGGTAAATGCAGCAGCGAGGAGACGGTTAGAGGCAGTGGAGATGTCCTGTTTAAGGGCAATGTGTGGTGTAAATATTATGCAGAAAATTCGGAGTGTGGAAATTAGGAAAAGGTGTGGAGTTAATAAAAGTATTAGTCAGAGGGCAGAAGAGGGGTTGTTGAGGTGGTTTGGTCATTTAGAGAGAATGGATCAAAGTAGAATGACATGGAAAGCATATAAATCTATAGGGGAAGGAAGGCGGGGTAGGGGTCGTCCTCGAAAGGGTTGGAGAGAGGGGGTAAACGAGGTTTTGTGGGCAAGGGGCTTGGACTTCCAGCAAGCGTGCATGAGCGTGTTAGATAGGAGTGAATGGAGACGAATGGTACTTGGGACCTGACGATCTGTTGGAGTGTGAGCAGGGTAATATTTAGTGAAGGGATTCAGGGAACTGATGGGATCATGACAGAAATGTTAAAAGCAGGGGGGGATATAGTGTTGGAGTGGTTGGTACTTTTGTTTAATAAATGTATGAAAGAGGGGAAGGTACCTAGGGATTGGCGGAGAGCATGTATATCCCTTTATATAAAGGGAAAGGGGACAAAAGAGATTGTAAAAATTATAGAGGAATAAGTTTACTGAGTATACCTGGAAAAGTATACGGTAGGGTTATAATTGAAAGAATTAAAGGTAAGACAGAATGTAGGATTGCGGATGAGCAGGGAGGCTTCAGAGTGGGTAGGGGATGTGTAGATCAAGTGTTTACATTGAAGCATATATGTGAACAGTATTTAGATAAAGGTAGGGAAGTTTTTATTGCATTTATGGATTTAGAAAAGGCATATGATAGAGTGGATAGAGGAGCAATGTGGCAGATGTTGCAAGTATATGGAATAGGTGGTAAGTTACTAAATGCTGTAAAGAGTTTTTATGAGGATAGTGAGGCTCAGGTTAGGGTGTGTAGAAGAGAGGGAGAATACTTCCCGGTAGAAGTAGGTCTTAGACAGGGATGTGTAATGTCACCATGGTTGTTTAATATATTTATAGATGGGGTTGTTCTCCATGGGGAAGTGGATCAGAATTCTTCCTCCGTAAGCCATGCGTGTTGTAAGAGGCGACTAAAATGCCAGGAGCAAGGGGCTAGTAACCCCTTCTCCTGTATATATTACTAAATGTAAAAGGAGAAACTTTCGTTTTTCCTTTTGGGCCACCCCGCCTTGGTGGGATACGGCTGGTGTGTTGAAAGAAAGTAAGAAGATGGGGTTGTAAAAGAAGTAAATGCTAGGGTGTTCGGGAGAGGGGTGGGATTAAATTATGGGGAATCAAATCCAAAATGGGAATTGACACAGTTACTTTTTGCTGATGATACTGTGCTTATGGGAGATTCTAAAGAAAAATTGCAAAGGTTAGTGGATGAGTTTGAGAATGTGTGTAAAGGTAGAAAGTTGAAAGTGAACATAGAAAAGAGTAAGGTGATGAGGGTATCAAATGATTTAGATAAAGAAAAATTGGATATCAAATTGGGGAGGAGGAGTATGGAAGAAGTGAATGTTTTCAGATACTTGGGAGTTGACATGTCGGTGGATGAATTATGAAGGATGAGGTTAATCATAGAATTGATGAGGGAAAAAAGGTGAGTGGTGCGTTGAGGTATATGTGGAGTCAAAAAACGTTATCTATGGAGGCAAAGAAGGGAATGTATGAAAGTATAGTAGTACCAACACTCTTATATGGATGTGAAGCTTGGGTGGTAAATGCAGCAGCGAGGAGACGGTTGGAGGCAGTGGGGATGTCCTGTCTAAGGGCAATGTGTGGTGTAAATATTATGCAGAAAATTCGGAGTGTGGAAATTAGGAGAAGGTGTGGAGTTAATAAAAGCATTAGTCAGAGGGCAGAAGAGGGGTTGTTGAGGTGGTATGGTCATTTAGAGAGAATGGATCAAAGTAGAATGACATGGAAAGCATATAAATTTATAGGGGAAGGAAGGACGGGTAGGGGTTGTCCTCGAAAGGGTTGGAAAGAGGGGGTAAAGGAGGATTTGTGGGCTAGGGGCTTGGACTTCCAGCAAGCGTGCATGAGCGTATTAGATAGGAGTGAATGGAGGCGAATGATACTTGGGACCTGACGATCTGTTGGAGTGTGAGCAGGGTAATATTTAGTGAAGGGATTCAGGGAAACCGGTTATTTTCATATAGTTGGACTTGAGTCCTGGAAATGGGAAGTACAATGCCTGCACTTTAAAGGAGGGGTTTGGGATATTGGCAGTTTGGAGGGATATGTTGTGTATCTTTATACGTATATGCTTCTGAACTGTTGTATTCTGAGCACCTCTGCAAAAGCAGTGATAATGTGTGAGTGTGGTGAAAGTGTTGAATGATGATGAAAGTATTTTCTTTTTGGGGATTTTCTTTCTTTTTTGGGTCACCCTGCCTCGGTGGGAGACGGCCGACTTGTTGAAAAAAAAAAAAAAAAAATTCAGGGAAACCGGTTATTTTCATATAGTCGGACTTGAGTCCTGGAAATGGGAAGTACAATGCCTGCACTTTAAAGGAGGGGTTTGGGATATTGGCAGTTTGGAGGGATATGTTGTGTATCTTTATATGTGTATGCTTCTAAACTGTTGTATTCTGAGCACCTCTGCAAAAACAGTGATAATGTGCGAGTGTGGTGAAAGTGTTGAATGATAATGAAAGCATTTTCTTTTTGGGGATTTTCTTTCTTGTTTGGGTCACCCTGCCTCGGGGGGAGACGGCCGACTTGTTGAAAAAAAAAAAAAAAAAAAAAAAATCCATGTACATGTACTGTGCTGTTTGTGTATATATACAGTCTCTCCTCACTTAATGAAAAAGTTCCGTTCCTAAGACCACGTTGGTAAATGAATTTGTTGCTAAGCAAGGAGCATACTATAATGGCAATGGGTTTATGTCAACCATCTTTGATATTTTTTAATGTTACCTTTGCACCATTAATAACATTTTTAGTATATTTTTAAATGTTTATACAGAAGTGTATCGTATATTGTAATAAACAGAACAGAGGAAATCAGCTCTAATACACATTATTTAGGTATGCACACTGGTCAGAGAGCCCATCGTAAGTCCAAGTCATCGGTAAATGAGTACGTCGCTAAGTGAGGAAAGGCTGTACCATAATTGGAAAAAAAATTAGTAATGCAATACTGTACTTACATTGAGCAAGACGCCAATGGGGTGTCGGCCACAAATAGTGTTGCCATACTTTTTCAGGTACTCGGTAAAGGCACTAGGGTTTAACGTCTCAATCAAATTCATTCCTTGCTTGTCAAGCTTTTGTATAGACTGCCAAATCTCACCCACAGAGCGGTCATAATATGTGTATCGGAAGCGCTGTCCCCAGTGGCAGAAGTCCGAAGATATCACAAACAAGCTCTAAGAAAAAAGAAGGTAATAAAATATACCAAATGTCTGCAGGACAAGAACACATTAATTTCTGGTATGGGACTGTAAAAGAAATGAATGCTAGGGTGCTAGGAGAGGTTGTGGGATCAAGAGATGCTGGATCTGATACCAAAGTAGTCATCACAGTTGCTTTTTGCTGATGACAATTCTTTTGGGGGATGCTGAGGACAAGGTGCACAGGTGTGTGGACAAATTTGGGAGGGTATGTAAAAGAAGGAAATTAAAAGTGAATGTAGAAAAGAGCGAGGTGATGAAGGTAACACAAAGTTCAAGTAATGAAAGATTGAAGTGAAGGTGCACCTACACTCTGAAAGAGGGGAGGGAATGTTGTGGTTTGGAAGGTCATATGTATTGTGATGTCAACACGGTTCTGTCAAGACAGAAATTGAACAAAAGATGGTGAATGTGCTTTCTTCTTTGGGCCACTTTGTTCTGGAGGGAGATGGCCATTGAGAAAAGGAGTGACAGGCAGATGATAAAATTTAATGTAGATATATTATTACATTTAGGGGAAAATGCTGAACTCATAGGGGTGACATAATGCCTTGGGAATGGCAGGTAATCAGGTTTGATCTAAGCAAGGGGAGAACAGATTCAATTCTCTGCATCAAGAGCCCCTCACTGGGATGAAGAACCCTTGGTAGATAAAGGTTATGTAATGGAAAGGTGGTAAAAAGAGCTAACAAGCCATGTGATGACTCTGAGATAGAGTGTTTGATATTATCTAACAGAGATAAACTTCCACAAGTCATCATTAGCAAAAGATTGCTACCAAAAGGCCAAATCAATTAAATCATGAGACACTCATGTGCTACATGCCAATCTATAAAATATCCTTCAAATTTACAAATGAGCAAATGCTGAGAATGATGTTCGCAGTGAATGTTTGGCAAAAACTGGATTATGCAGAGGGAATGGTGCCTGCAAATAAAAACCTGTAGACAAGACAAAAAAAGTACAAGGATGGTCTCTAGAACAAAATTATGAGTTACTAAGGCTAAACAACATGATGACTAAGAGAAGAAACATGATAACCACATATGTAATGAAAGTATATACAGAATACAGCCAGAAGATTTCTAAGCACCATCAACTGCAAGACGAGTGATCTTAGTTATAAATTAAGGAAAATACAGTGCCATAGGGACACAAGAAAGTTCTTCCTCAAAGGGGTGTTACTGATGAATGGGATGGAATACAAGATGGAGTAAAATGCTACAACCACAGGAAACTGAAAAGACTTATATGATAATTAAACAGTGATGAAGAGACAGCATGGACATAGCTTTGCTTCTGCAGTTACAAACAAGTAATAACGTACATACAGTATTGTATAATTAACTAGTATGAGTAAACTCCCCCCCCCCTTTTTTTTTAGCTACGACATTCATTAACACATATTTTCCACAATCTAAAATAATGTATACTTAATCTCCATTTATCTGGACTCATTAGTGCTTAAGGTGGACTCAATAGCTGGGAAGAACTCTCAAGGTATGGTACAGTATTGCAACCTCTAACAGAACACCGAAACGTTTGGGTTTACACACAAGGGTCACTTTCAACATATATTTTTTTCCACAGAGTTAATAATTTCACAAAAATGTATAGCTACTGCAAGATCGTATTCTTTCATTAGCATTCATTATCTGCTGACTATTATTTTATTCACAGTATACACATATAAAAGACTTGAAAATGGCAATTAATATACATACTGATATCCTTACAGTATTAAGCATCCAGAGTAATCCTGAACATTAAAAATTTTTGCAATTCACCTGTGTGAATTTGGCACAAATAAAACATATTGACTGCAAAAGATGGCTGAACCTATGTAGTCAATTTAAAAATATTTTGTAACTATTGAATGCATATTAACAGGAAAGAAAGTCGTGCATATTGATAGATATCTAAAATCTGAAGTGCATCCAAATTTTTGCAGAGAACCACACACAGCTTGAATTTTGGATAAATGCATGGAAATGCAACCCCTGGACAAACCCGATGCTGTCCAGTTATGGTATTGGCAAATTCAAGTTATCCAAATTGTTGAATAAACAGCATTTTTGTAAAAAATACAGAAATCTTCATTTTGAAATAATTATTTTGAAAAGATGATGAGCAAAGGATATTTATTAAAAAAAAAAAAAAAAAAGATAAAAAGTTAATACTCAGTATGCAAATTATATACTATATTACTATACACACAAAATATTTTCTAAATACATGTATTTGTTTCTAGCTTTAATAAAACAAATGTTACAATGGAATGTGGAGGATGAGAAGAACATATCATTAAGATTCAATAGAGAACATGATTATTTTTTTGTATAGTATTTTGGTCATTGCTAAATTTATCATGGTAACCCACTGCTGCACTTCCTAATCATTCGCACTCACCCTAGCCTTCTGCTCAAATATAAGTCTGTGCTTTTAATCCAATATCTTTAAGGAGCACACTCACTTAGGTGTTCTAGAAAAAATAGACAAACCTAGGAAAGGTGATGAGTTACTTCATTTATCATTCATTTCTGAAAAGTAAAAAATAACTAAATGTGTACAATAACTTACAAAATACTGTGGGTGTTCCCAATTTAAGATAGAACTGCATTAACAACATTCAAACTTACAAATTAATAATTCGTAATGTATAACCTGTGTTCTTTTAGAATGCAGAAGTACAAAGGATGACTATGTTTCAAACATGTTTGTAACTGAGGATCAGTGATCAAGAAACTATTATTAGTTTCCAAGTGCCACATTCTTTATGGCTGCTTGTAACCCTGAGCATCCTCAAGTTGGCAACAGCTGTACATTCCTTCTCTGGGTAGCAGCAACATTCCTAGCTACTATGACATTTGGTAAATATGACTCACAAAATCGTAATGACACGGTTGCAAACAAACCATACCACGGGCAGGGATAGAACCCGTGATCAGTCATAAATGACTCTCTGATCTTGGGTTCTATCCCTGGGGCCCGTGGTATGGTTTTGGTGAATATCATGATGGATGTTCAATAATAACCTTTGTGGAGATAAACTCAGTAGACTGATTGATTTGTATACTGTTCTGACCCCCTTCTGGGATCCTCGTCAGAAGATGTTCAAAATATACAGATCAATTAATGTTCTGTTGCTGTCTTTGTGTGTTCATTACACTTTAGTTATTCATCATTATAGATGTATTGTTATAATGAAGATGAACTATATGTGTTGTATATCTTTTCTATAGCTAAGAATTCAAGGGTTATGAATACTGAAAACAGAAATTTGAAAAAAATAATGATAAAATTGATATCTCCAAAACTAACTACTTTTCAGATCTGAATATAATGTCATTTTCAATTACTTTATAATACTCCATACAATTTTGGGGGACAATCAGTTGGTAATTCATCATTGCAGCCCAGCCTAGGAGCATTAATAACTCAGTCTTGTGATGTAGGTCAACTGAGGTCATAGGTTGACCTAACCAACCAGTGTAAATTGTCACACCCCTTGCCAAAGCAAGGGAGTGTGACAATTTACACTGGTTAGTGAGGTCAGCCTGTGACTTAATTTGACCTACATCACAGTCTGGTTACAGGTGACCAAGCTGCTTGACTTTCATTTCATTACTGTCATATCTATCACTCTATAGTCTACACAGTACAGTACATTAAAAGCTAATATACTGTACTTCTGAGTCCTTCCATCTTTACTATATAAAAACAAGGAGAGGGCAGGATGAGTTGGGAATATATATTAGACTGTCTAAATGTACAGGGATTATAATGATACTAAACTAGGAATACCCTAATAATTAAATATTGAAGAACAAAATAGCTACAACTCCAAAAGCTATCAAACTACTGTTGTACAGTAGCACTACAAAGTTTATAAATTAAAGCCAAATTGGTGGGGTAATTCTGGTAAATTTTCCTATTTATGAATGTGCTCCTTTATCATTCTAATTAAAAATAGTGTTTTGAGAAATCTGTTACACATGCTACATGAGCCAAAATAAGCTGACATTAAAAATAGATTATATGAAGATTAACGTAAGTACAGAAAGCCAGGGTAAGTGAACTTTTATTGCTATACAATATTTAGAATGAGTAGACAAATTTGAAACTCACCGTTATGTTGCCATCTGCCAACCACTAGTTACTTTTGCTTCCAGGTAATACCATCATTGTATTGAGAAATAATGTGTATGTCGGCGTGCAGATTATGGTGAGCCGAAGATACATTCTGATGTAGACTGTGAAGGTGTAATTTGTGAAATACTCACTTGAGGGTCGGCTAAATACGGTGCAAGAAGACGTCCATACAGTATCTCTCGTTCAGGCGTCAGTGATCCCACTAAGATTGGGACAATGGTGAAGTGGTCCCGGAAACTGAGCCACAAAAAAAATCACTGCTCACTCTCAAGTGAAATGGAAGTTAAATCAATCACAAAATTACCTATTAATCATCTTATCAGAATATCTAAGAGAAAAACTGCAAAATGTGGCCCATGAGTGTGCTGCAGTGTGTTCATGGCAAATTCCATAGACTACATAATTAAAATTTAATTCTGTTTCATAGCTCTGATGCAATGGTTATAAACCATGATAAAACAAATGATGTAACTCAAAACACAAATCAAAATGAGAAAAGTGCAAATGAAAATAAATAATATATATACACAGGAAATACCTATGCAACACCAGAAACAAAAAGGATGAAAAGTTGTGAAAGAATGAAAGTCACAATACCGTAGTTACTGAGTTGGAACAATTGACAGAGGACCCACACTCAGGAGATAAAGCCTTCGATAATGTTTGAGTCTAGCGTGGACCATTATAAAGTCACAATTGTGACTTCATTATGGTCCTGGATGGACTGAAACCTCACTGAAAGTTTCCTCTCTGAAGTGCAAGTTATTTGTAAGTTGGGGAAGTTATGAACAGCAGACCTGTCTTTGGTAATGCATGCAAAATAATATAATAGTGAAGGTACCGTGTGTTTTGGTCAAAATTAATAACTCAAGTACAGTATACTGAACAGTTCTGGTCTCCAAGGTCTCCAAGCTACAAACAGGTTGCATTACTGGTACTCTGACTTACAAACAAGTTGTTTGTCTAGAAAACACAATGCACAGGATACTTGTGTATCACACGTTTGTGCAATGATTTAGTGGTTATATAACTTTAATTGGATGTTTGTAAAAGTTAGATCTCCTGTATTGCAATGTGATGCAGTGGAACATATTACTTATGTCTTTTAATACTGAGTCCAAAAGTTTAAGTAGCAGTAGAAACCAACTGTGGCTGTAAATAAAGCAAATAAATGTTTCCAAGGAGAAATCATTGAAGGAAAATGGAACTAGAAAATTAGTTCAGAAAATGTCAGCCCAAAATTTATGAAATAAGAAATATTTTAATATAGAAATAAATTATGTTTCCTTTATTACATGCACTACAGCACACAAGTAGACAACAAAAATAAAGCATCAGGTTGTAACAGAAAAATGCACACAGTTATAACAATAGCATTGCACTCAAAAAAAAATCTTTCCACAAATAAAAAAATTTCTACATAACTTATAGGAAAACATATGACAGCACAATAAAAAAAATAAAAATGAAATGTTTGTACCAATTTCCAGTAAAGCACAACCAATATACTTTAAATGAAAACAGAAAATTACCAAGTTGAAATACTGTACATGTAGTTTTGAATGCATGTATGTGGTCATGGTAATTTAATTAACGGATCAACTTACTCTTCCATAATTTTCGCTACATAGGGGAGGTGCATTTCAATGCTGTGTTCGTCTTCGTCAGCAGACACAGTCATAGTCTCGAAGTGGCCCGTCTGATACAGCTCATTGTAGACTGCAAAGTAATACTGTATATTAATAGGTAGTTACACACTACAATATACCACATTTGATTCTGCCCATTATAGAAATTAAATTCTATAAATGATGCTAAAAGCAATTACAGTACATATACCTTTAAGAAATTAATATATAAGACACGTAACATATCAAGGAATATTGTTTCTGTGTTCAACACACTGGCCACATCCCACCAAGGCAGGGTGACCTAAAAAGAAAAAGAAAAGCTTTTCTTTTGAAATTTAGCAATTTATACAGAAGGAGTTACTAGCCCCTTACTCCCGGCATTTTAGTCACCTCTTAGGACACGCATGGCATACAAAGGAAGGATTCTTTTCCGCTTCCCCATGGAGATAATATAATATATACATGTATATTTATTTTATGACACACTGGCCATCGCCCACAGAGACTGAGTGACTCAAAAAAGACGACAAAAGTTTTTCTTCTATTTACATTTAGTAATTTAGACAGAAGGGATTACTAGCTCCTTGCCCTATAAAGGAATATTATCAAAATGCTGCAGTCACATTCTGGGGGAAAACAAATTTTGATAGCTTGATTTCATGATCCTTGAGCACCTGATTTTTATATTATCCTCTCTTCTTTAATGGCATTTAAAAAATCTAGACAGCTTTTCTTTGCATACTTTTTAAAATCAGCTGTGATATTTCATCAGATCATAATTTTCATTAATTTCTCACTATTCACTATACCTATAATTTCTTAATCATTTCCTTCATACAGTGGACCCCCGGTTAACGAACTTTTTTCATTCCAGTAGTATGTTCAGGTGCCAGTACTGACCGAATTTTTTCCCATAAGGAATAGTTGTGAAGTAGATTAGTCAATTTCAGACCCCCAAACATACACGTACAAACGCACTTACATAAATACACTTACATAATTGGTCGCATTTGGAGGTGATCGTTATGCAGGGGTCCACTGTATTTCCATATCTGTTTTTAGGAAGTATTTACAAGATATGAAAACTGGTTTATTTTTATAATTTCCCTTATATTTACAGGTACATTTACTTTATGTTTTAAAAAGCCAATGTTATTTATTTATAATAATACAAATAGCCAATAAAAATGCAAATAGCTACTTTATTCCCACTTAATTCCTGGTGGGAAACGGCCAACGTGTTAAAAAAAAAATTCAAAATAAAGCACTAAATCTTTTTCACACACTAATAACTCAGCCTAATTGTCGCAGTGTAGTAAGAGATGCAACACTGGTGCTCCATCCCACCACTAGATGTAACATTGGTGCTCCATCCCACCACTAGATGCAACACTGGTGCTCCATCCCACCACTAGATGCAACACTGGTGCTCCATCCCACCACTAGATGTAACATTGGTGCTCCATCCCACCACTAGATGTAACATTGGTACTCCATCCCACCACTAGATGCAACACTGGTGCTCCATCCCACCACTAGATGTAACATTGGTGCTCCATCCCACCACTAGATGTAACATTGGTACTCCATCCCACCACTAGATGTAACATTGGTACTCCATCCCACCACTAGATGTAACATTGGTACTCCATCCCACCACTAGATGTAACATTGGTGCTCCATCCCACCACTAGATGTAACATTGGTGCTCCATCCCACCACTAGATGTAACACTGGTGCTCCATCCCACCACTAGATGTAACATTGGTGCTCCATCCCACCACTAGATGTAACATTGGTGCTCCATCCCACCACTAGATGTAACATTGGTGCTCCATCCCACCACTAGATGTAACATTGGTGCTCCATCCCACCACTAGATGTAACATTGGTGCTCCACCCCACCACTAGATGTAACACTGGTGTTCCATCCCACCACTGGATGCAACATCGGTACTCCATCCCACCACTGGATGCAACATTGGTGCTCCATCCCACCACTGGATGCAACATTGGTGCTCCATCCCACCACTGGATGCAACATTGGTGCTCCATCCCACCACTGGATGCAACATTGGTGCTCCATCCCACCACTGGATGCAACATTGGTGCTCCATCCCACCAATGGATAATCTTATCACTAACATTTGATAAATTATTTCCTTCTTAAAACACAACTGAGAAAAATAACACTTACCTTGTTGATCAACTATCAGATCATAAAGAGGTGTTCGATACTTGGTTAGAGAAGATAGTGCACACCCAGATAACCGAACATGATGTGACGGACCCAGTATGAAGACACGTTTCCTGTGAAATTGAAGGCACTGAATAACTATAACGTATCACTGCTTGTATCAATTACAGGTGCTCCTCAACTTATGATGGTTTGACTTATGATATTTCGACTTGACAATGGTGCGAGAGAAATTACTTTGGAGATGAAATTTAAGATGATTAAATAACAAAAAAAAGCACAATACAGTGACTGGAACGATACACAAATAACCCGCACATAAAAGAGGGAAGCTTACGACGACGTTTCGGTCCGACTTGGACCATTGATAAAGTCAATGGTATTATATACTATTCTTGTACTACTACTACTACTACTACTACTACTACCACCATCACCTCTTCCTGCCTATATATAGCCGTCCTGCTCCACTTCTGGTTAGTGTGACTTTGTCAATGGTCCAAGTCGGACCGAAACGTCGTCGTAAGCTTCTCTCTTTTATGTGCGGGTTATTTGTGTTAAGATGATTATTCAGCATGAAGGGAGAAAGTCCATAACTTGTATTCATTTATTTACTTCTCAATACTGGTACAGTGGACCCTCGACCAACGATGGCATCGATTAACGATAAATCCGACCAGCGATACATTTTAACGCAAAAATTTTTCCTCGACTAGCTCTAAAAAACTCGACCAACACTATTCGTTCCGTCTGAGACGTGTCCACTTCTGGCCAGTGTTTACAAGCCAGCCAGCCACCGTGGTCGCTTCCAAGCATACAATCGGAACATTTCATATTATCACAGCCTTTTTAGTGATTGCACCTGCAAAATAAGTCACCATGGGCCCCAAGAAAGCTTCTAGTGCCAACCCTACAGCAAAAAGGGTGAGAATTACTATAGACATGAAGAAAGAGATCATTGCTAAGTATGAAAGTGGAGTGCGTGTCTCTGAGCTGGCCAGGTTGTACACAAAACCCCAATCAACCATTGCTACTAATGTGGCCAAGAAAACGACAATCAAGGAAGCTGTTCTTGCCAAAGGTGCAACTGTTTTTTTGAAACTGAGATCGCAAGTGATAGAAGATGTTGAGAGACGTTATTGGTGTGGATAAATGAAAAACAGATAGCAGGAGATAGCATCTCTCAAGCGATCATATGCAACCATATGACCTGTCTTTGTAATACTCACTTGTGCTTTATAGTAATCTGTTTACATTAATGTTTTATCACTGATTTCATCATTGCTTAGTTAATCTTAAGTTAATTTTAAGCCAGCCCGTAATGCTATGCATAGTATAAGTGGCTTTGGCATGCTGCTCTTATCTGTATTTTTTTGTACCTCTGTATGTGTGCTCAAATTGTTAATAAATAAATAAATAAATAAAAAAAAGGCTAGGAAGTTGCATGATGATTTAATTAGAAAAATACCAGCAACTAGTGGTGATGCGAGTGAATTTAAGGCCAGCAAAGGTTGGTTTGAGAGATTTAAGAATTGTAGTGGCATACATAGTGTGATAAGGCATGGTAAAGCTGCCAGTTTGGACCAAAAAGCAGCTGAAAAATATGTGCAGGAATTCAAGGAGTACATAGACAGTGAAGAATTGAAACATAAACAAGTGTTTAATTGTGACAATGACAATGTTGTGAAACACTTTAGGAATGTCATAAAGGAACGGGAGGTACAGGCCTCTATGGACAGATACGTTGTGCGACAGAGGTCCAGTGACTCTCAAGCTGGTCCTAGTGGCATTAAAAGAAGAAGGGAATTGCCCTTCTAAACACTAACACCATCAACACTCTCCCCTCCTCCCATCCCATCAATCATCACCAGATCTTCAATAAAGGTAAGTGTCATGTAACTGTGCATGTCTTCTTCAGTTTGTGTGTATTGAAATTAATATTTCATGTGGTAAAATTTTTTTTTCAATACTTTTGGGTGTCTTGCACGGATTAATTTGATTTCCATTATTTCTTATGGGGAAAATTAACTCGACTAACGATAATTTCGATTAACGATGAGCTCTCAGGAACGGATTAATATCGCTGGTCGAGGGTCCACTGTATTAGTTAGTTATATTAATTATTTGTTTATTTACTTATTCAGTGACAGTAGTTATTTATTTACTAACTTATTCAGAATATCACATTCATATTCGACTTGCAATATTTTCAACTTACAACAGGTTCGCTGGAACATAACCCCATCATAAGTCGAGGACCACCTGTACATCATATAGATCTACATTCACATGTGTAATGCTACAAAAGCAGATCTACGTTTTTTACATATTTTCAAATATAACAAAAACAAAAAAAGGAGATCCAAGTTTTTTTACACATTTTCAAATGTAACAAAACAAAAAGATCTACTTTTTTTACATACTTTCAAATGTTGAAAAAACGTATATATACGTTTGGACCGTTTACGGGTTAAAATGAAATACAGTGGACCCCCGCATAACAATCACCTCCCAATGCGACCAATTATGTAAGTGTATTTATGTAAGTGCGTTTGTACATGTATGTTTGGGGGTCTGAAATGGACTAATCTACTTCTCAATATTTCTTATGGGAACAAATTCGGTCAGTACTGGCACCTGAACATACTTCTGGAATGAAAAAATATCGTTAACCGGGGGTCCACTGTATTAGTGTCTTTATGTATAGTGTATTACAATGTGTGTTATGAATGGTTTAAAAACCCGACAAGTTGAAGATTGAGACACTTATGCAACATATAGGAATCTTTATTCAGGAAGCAGAGAGGTGTAAGGAGAGGAGGATTTTGAGATAATAAGTCCCTCAGCCTGGAGTTGATGTGTTCAGTCCATCAATCTTGTAGAATGTATAGCAAAGGGCTGTAGATGTGGCTTATATACTGTAGTCAGGTGAGGCGAAGCAGAAATAGGTGAGGTCATAGTGGAACCATCCACCAGTCTAAGTAGGTCTTCGTCCAAAGCTTGGACAAGTGTTGAAGAATTCGCTTGATGGACTGAACACACCGACTCCAGGCTGAGGGACTGATTACCTCAAACTCCTCCTCCTTACACCTTTCTGCTTTGTATTGGACTGATGAAGCCACTGTGTGGCGAAACATTTCCTGAATAGATTCCCAATTGTTACCTAAGTGTCTCAACATTTTAATCTGAACAGCAATTAAAAACCTGTAAAATTTAGTTCAAGAAATTTCACTAGCTCTTGAGTGCTTTTTATCGAGGAGTCAGACATACAGTGCCACAAGACCCATCTTCACTTTATTTCTGTCACCATGGAACCACTTAAGCTCATGGATACGGCACATGTCCTCACTCTTAAAATGATACCACCAGAGGCGGCTCATCCATAGGAGCTGCAGAGCAGTAATATCCCCAGATGCTCACTCCCATACGTACTACTTCATCAGCCTTACATTAAAATAATTTGCAACTGAAAATTACAGGAAAAATCTGTTGTACATTGTTTTCAATGTAATTAAAAGCAAATTTTTTATTTTTATTTTTTATTGAAACGAGATAAACAATGATTAAAAACAGAAGTATGATGCTGTACGAGAGAATAGGGGCTGCTAGCACTACAAATTGCCATTGTACACCACGTTTCACTTATTGCCAGAAACTTCAGAGCCTTACACATGCAACTATTCTCAACCATCCACTACACATCAACAACATTATACAACACTCACTACACATTAACACTACATGACAGGCTCTCTACCCAGTATTATTATTTTTTTTTTATTATCACACTGGCCGATTCCCACCAAGGCAGGGTGACCCGAAAAAAAAAACTTTCACCATCATTCACTCCATCACTGTCTTGCCAGAAGGGTGCTTTACATTACAGTTTTTAAACTGCAACATTAACACCCCTCCTTCAGAGTGCAGGCACTGTACTTCCCATCTCCAGGACTCAAGTCTGGCCTGCCGGTTTTCCTGAACCCCTTCATAAATGTTACTTTGCTCACACTCCAACAGCACGTCAAGTATTAAAAACCATTTGTCTCCATTCACTCCTATCAAACACGCTCACGCATGCCTGCTGGAAGTCCAAGCCCCTCGCACACAAAACCCCCTTTACCCCCTCCTCCAACCTTTCCTAAGCCGACCCCTACCCCCCCTTCCTTCCACTACAGACTGATACACTCTTGAAGTCATTCTGTTTTGCTCCATTCTCTCTACATGTCCGAACCACCTCAACAACCCTTCTCAGCCCTTGGACAACCGTTTTGGTAATCCCGCACCTCCTCCTAACTTCCAAACTACGAATTCTCTGCATTATATTCACACCACACATTGCCCTCAGACATGACATCTCCACTGCCTCCAGCCTTCTCCTCGCTGCAACATTCATCACCCATGCTTCACACCCATATAACAGCGTTGGTAAAACTATACTCTCATAAATCCCCTCTTTGCCTCCAAGGACAAAATTCTTTGTCTCCACAGACTCCTAAGTGCACCACTCACCCTTTTCCCCTCATCAATTCTATGATTCACCTCATCTTTCATAGACCCATCCGCTGACACGTCCACTCCCAAATATCTGAATACATTCACCTCCTCCATACTCTCTCCTTCCAATCTGATATCCAATCTTTCATCACCTAATCTTTTTATCCTCATAACCTTACTCTTTCCTGTATTCACTTTTAATTTTCTTCTTTTGCACACCCTACCAAATTCATCCACCAATCTCTGCAACTTCTCTTCAGAATCTCCCAAGAGCACAGTGTCATCAGCAAAGAGCAACTGTGACAACTCCCACTTTATGTGTGATTCTTTATCTTTTAACTCCACGCCTCTTGCCAAGACCCTCGCATTTACTTCTCTTACAACCCCATCTATAAATATATTAAACAACCACGGTGACATCACACATCCTTGTCTAAGGCCTACTTTTACTGGGAAATAATTTCCTTCTTTCCTACATACTCTAACTTGAGCCTCACTATCCTCGTATAAACTCTTCACTGCTTTCAGTAACCTTCCTCCTACACCATACACCTGCAACATCTGCCACATTGCCCCCCTATCCACCCTGTCATACACCTTTTCCAAATCCATAAATGCCACAAAAACCTCTTTAGCCTTATCTA